GTCTCGTGAAGAATTAGCTTTCACACTATCGCAGTCAGAATTCAATTGCTAAAAATGCAGGATGGTTTGGCAATAATACGGTTACAATGACAAATACGAAGTGTGTTTAAAAAGTAAGGTGAATTTTTAAATTTGGTAGGCTACGTAGATTCGATCATCGATATTTTTTTTATTATGTTGGTATACATGTCTCTTACATATGCTCACAGTTTCAGCCACTTTGTATGTTTGATTTTTTTTTGCGAGACAATGCAAAAAAAGGTTACAAATGATATAAGCTCTTTCAAGAGGGCCGAGAAGAAACTGACGACGTATCTCGCTCTGGACGCCCCAGCACTTCAATAACTGATGAAAGTGTTGAAGAACTGAAACAAATGGTATTAAAAAATCGTCGAATGTCGAATCACTATTAAAGAAGTGACTGAAGACATCAGCATCTCTGTAGGCTCGTGCCATGCAATTTTTCCGAAGTTTTGGGCATGAAACGTGCAGGAACAAAATTTGTTCCAAAATTGATTAATTCTGAACAAAAGGACCGTCGAAGGAGCATCGCTCAAGAGCTGTTAAACGACGTCAATGATGATCTTGATATGCTCAAAAGAGTCATAACTGGTGACGAATCATGGGTTTATAGTTATGACATCAAACATAAAGCCTAATCGTCCCAATGAAAGACTCCAGAAGAGCCAAGACCGAAAAAAGCACGTCGAGTTAAATCAAATGTAAAATGTTTTGTTCACTGTTTTCTTTAATTGTGGTGACGTAGTACATCAAGAGTTCTTACCACAAGGTTGTACGGTCAACAAAGAGTATTACCTTGAAATTATGCACAGTTTACGAGAAGCCATACGAAAAAAAATTCCGGAGTTGTGGGAAAACAATTCATGGATTTTGCATCACGATAATGCACCTGCTCACTTATTGTTGCTTGTGTTGGACTTTTTAGCCAAAAACAAAACCACAATCATGCCTCAGGCACCATATTTACCGGATATGGCCCCTTGCGATAATAACCCAATAACCCAAAACTCAAGAAATCCATAAAAGGACGGAGGTTTGGAACGATTGAGGAGATAAAGAAAAAATCACTGGAAGAACTCAAGGCTATACCAGAAAGTGTTTACCAGAAATCCTTTGAGGATTGAAAAACACGTTGCCACAAGTGTATTATATCTGTGGAGGATTACTTTAAAGGAGACAACATAAATATTAATGAATAAATAAATATTTTTTCATAAAAATAAAAATTCACCTTATATTTTGAACACACATCGTATGCTAATTTCCAAAACGCTTACTAAGGAAAAGTAAAATGAGCCATTACTCAACAAGAATGATTTTATCAATAACATTCTTCTAATAGTTATTGATTGTTCAAAACAAAAAAAATCAATCAAGACTGCAGCTATGCGCCTTGAATTTGACACAAGATATAATTTTCCTGACAATACTACTACTAATACTACTGATAGTCTACTGTTTAATTCTACATGATTGAATCGTGGAGTACAATCTAATTAGCGGTGATGTGAGAAAATTAGTTCAATATATTACTAATGAAAAAATCATTTAAAAACAAAATTTATAAAGTACTATCAATCGCTTGTTTAATATTAAATTATATTAATAAATGGAAGTTAAATTTAAAAAATTACTTTTTACTATTATAGCTAAAATATTCCCTTTATCAGCTGTTATTGAAATATATTTAGATTACTTAAGTGAGAGAACATTCATACTATACGATATATGCATACTACCACTATTATACATAGCTATAGCCTATTGAAAGAGAGAGAGAGAGAGAGAGAGAGAGAGAGATCCACGTCTCTACGATTTACTTATGCTGCTAGAAGGCATACTCCCTCTCCTATACATAGCCTGTTGAAGAGGAGAAAGAGAGAGAGAGAAGCACCTAGCCAGCACATATAGCTTAACAAGATAGAAACGCTCACCTAGAGAGCTGACTTCAAGTGCTAGAGATGCCCCCCCCCCCCCACCTCCGAGGGCCTACTACTTCGAGCCAGCATATATCTTACCAACTTCTATATTTTGAAGGAGGGAGACTATTGTTTCAAGGTACTTCTTTTCATCAATATTACGTATAAGTATGGGTATTCGGATTTATAGCTTTAAAAAATATCTTAATATCGTTTTGAGAGGTTAACCTAGGCTAGCTAGAATTCAAAGTTAACGCTTTTTTTATCAGTGCGATAATCTCGTATCACTGCGTAAGTGTTTCACACATTTTTATTCTCTTGTTTGTCCACCGATATACTTTGTCTCTTCCTTGCGAGGGTTTTAGTAATTATGATTTTGAGGTAATCCGACCGCTACCAATACTTGAATTTCATTAAGTATCAATAATAATCCCGTTTATTAATAAATCATGCGTTAAATTTGACTGCCCAAAAATTTCACTAGCTTCTTCTATAATTAAAATTGTATCACGAAAAAGGAAGCGACGGTTAGTCTTACGATGAAAGTAAGTTATCGTGTGGGTATGTGTGTGTGTGTACGTATTATATATTCTGTAACGGGATGCGAATTCCGTTTAAATTTCTTTGTCTCGCCCGATGCGCAGTCGAACCGGAATGTGCGCGGCGAGATCGAAATAATCAAGTTTTGCTAGCTAACCGAGGAGCAGGAGGGACAGGTGTCAGTCAACCAACTTTTTAATAGCAAAGACAACAGTAAATTAACGTTTCAATCATACGTGGACCAGTTTATTTATCATGTAATCTACAACGCATTTGGCCCGTGCATTTACGCTTATACGATGTCGTCTTTCAGCGTGTGGCTTAGGTTGCCACTTTTCCGAATTGAAGACGAGGCCTCTTTAATCGCCTTGCTGCTTTTGTTGGGTCAGCTCGTTGTTTCCACCGCCGGCCTATGATGGCGTGTTCGCTGGGCTGGCACGATAACAACAACCACAAAAACTACCGACAGTCTACACTAGTCGCACTCCTTGCGACGTGCACATTCACGCACGCTATAGCCGATACTAGAGGCACTCCTGGGGTCGGACACGCTATTCGCGATTTTCGGGTAGCTGCACAACTCTAGCGTTAGTGCTCTTGAACTCCTGCACGTTGTTACCGGTGCCAAAGGCGCTCTCCCACTGGTCCTTTTCTCTTCGCGCGCGTTCCTTTCCATTTCGGATCGAGTTCCCGTTTTCGACTTACCCAGGCCGATCGGTGCTGCCCTCGCAGGCCACGCGATCGAAACGGTACCGCAAACCGAACGTTTATTGTCACAATTCATATTCATTCTTTTCCAATATGTACCTTATTTGCTACTCTGTATATGATCCTATAATAAGAAAAATTACAGCACAAGTTAATTTAATTAAATTGGTTAAACGAAAGAACGTCAATAAAGTTACAGATATGTACATAAAAAAATCAGTTCAACTTCTATTTTCAGCAGATCAATGAAATTACAGAATAAAAGGAGAAAAATAAGAATAAAAAACTTGAGCGATTAGCACTACTAGTACTATCAACTAGGATTATCACCGCCAGTTATATGGATTTCATTGAAAGAATTGATATTTGTAGTAGACATTAAATTATTATTTAGTTTTCCATAATTAATAAGAAATCTAATTAATTATTTAAAAATTTGTATAAAATATGATTATCTACGAGGGTGATCCGATAAGTACTTAGCCTCACCGCCCGATGGCGCCACTCTCGCAAAAGAAATATTCTATCACGTAGTACAACCTTCTCGATAGTTACTGTCAAGATTTGAGCCAGATCGCAGTTGTAGTTTATTTTTAAGAGCGTGTGAAAACAAGTATGTCCGTTGATTTTTGAAAAATGGAAAAAGAGCAGTGGTAATTTGATTCTTGTTTTTGGAAGGGCAATCGCGCAGCGAAATCAAAAAGCACTTGGATGCTGTGTACGGTGACTTTTCTCCTTCGATGGCGATCGTCAAAAATTGGTTTAACGAGTTTCAACGAGGTCGCACGTCAATTTTTGAAGAACCATGTCCAGGTGCTCCAAAAGCGGCTATCACGGAGGATAACGTGACAAAATTTCACGATCTCGTATTGGCAGATCGACGATTGAAGGTGAGCGAGATAGCTAAGATCGTAGGCATCTCAAAAGACCGCGTGGGTCATGTCCTGCATGAAATTTTGGGCATGAGGAAGCTGTTGGCGCGATGGGTGCCGCGTTTGCTCACTCCGGACAACAAGCGCAACCGTAAGACAACTTCAGAGTAATGTCTGACGCTGTTTAAGCGCAATCCGAAGGAGTTTCTGCGTCGTTTCGTGACAATCGACGAAACATGGATCCACTGGTATACACCAGAGACCAAGGAACAGTCGAAACAGTGGACTTTACCCGGCGAAAGTGCTCCGAAGAAGGCGAAGACTGCCCCATCGGCCGGAAAGGTGATGGCCACCGTTTTCTGGGATTCACAAGGTGTGATCTACATCGACTACCTAGAGAGGGGCAGAACGGTCACATGGCTGTACTATGCCGAATTATTGGGTCGATTCGACGTCGAATTGCACAAAAAACGGCCCCATTGGCGAAGAAAAAAGTGCTCTTCCATCATGACAACGCACCGGCTCACACCTCCGCCGTCGCCATGGCCAAATTGGTCGAATTAGGCTACGAACTGCTGCCCCATCCACCGTATTCTCCAGATTTAGCCCCGTGCGACTTTTTTTTTCCAAACTTGAAAAAGTCACTCGCCGGGCAGAAATTTGAGTCGAATGAGGAGGTAATCGCTGCCACGGAAGCCTACTTTTCAGACCTCGAGGAAACGTGTGTTTTAGACGGGTTAAAGAAGTTGAAACATCGCTGGGCCAAGTATATCGAACTAAAAGGAGACTATGTTGAAAACTAAAATGCCACTTTTCCAAAATTTTCGTTTTTCTTTTGTAGGCTAAGTACTTACCGAACCACCCTCGTATATATCATGAGAATGTGATTGCACTAAAATAGTATCATAATTAAATTTATGGGAAATTTGAATACACTCACCTTTTGGTGTTCCGGTGCTACCAGATGTATATAAAACAAGTGCTACCTTAGACGTATCTTCGTCAATTGTTATGTTTCCTACCCTTTTTTCAGACTCTAAGAATAAATCAGTGTCAAGTACCGTGAGTATGTTACTGAAATATCTGGAATCCACTGAAAAAGATCATAAATTATTATTGGAGGATTAAATTAATTACAACGCATTAAGTCCTCGAAATTCTCCCCGTCACAGGAGAAAGATGGCATTCTGTGCTGTTAAATGTATGCGTGAAATACTTTTTTGAAGAGCGGAAAAAATATATTTATCTATAATATTGTTTATTTCAAAATTTTAGTATGATGGAAACATATGTTTCTTAAATTAAAGTAAATAAATTTGTAATATAGTTCGACATATACACTGCCCATTAAACACTTTTGCCATACTTACACCAAAATCAGGCAAATTTGAAAGATTTGTATCTTAGTCCGAAATTATCGTATCAAAGAAAAACCGAAGTGCGTTTTAAAGGATATTGTAATAACTTCCATTTATAACGGGGATTTAGCCCGGTTTACTCCGTAAATATAAAAAAGAAACAATAAATGGGGAATGTCCAAACGAAGTCTGAAGCTTCCTGGATTGTCCGTCCTCCCAGGTCCGGTACTCGTCACGCCGGTGATAGGACAGCCGAATCAGCGCAGATTCGTAGTGTTGACTAAAGAACGCGAAAGTCGAAGATTAAAGAGCGGTCGTCGGCGCGAAAAGGCGGGACGTTCGAAGAAATCGGTGGGATACGATTAAATTAGAATGCTTACGGTGAACAATATCATTAATCAAAAAAATTGACAAAAGTGGTCGGAAGGAGGGAGAGAGCACGTCGAGTAAATGGGTAGAGAGAGAGAGAGTAAACCATCTAGCCGGTACTTACAATGCTGGTTTTAGATCTCTAGATACGCCGACGATTTATACAATTTGCGTTCACGCAGACGCACGAATAGAAGGGCTTCACGTGTACTATACAGCTCGGTCTCTATTCTAACGATGATGCCTCGCGCAACGATGTTCTGCACTACCAGATGCAGCCCACGTGCGTGAATCTTCTGCAGAGCTAGGCGACGTCGCAATTCTCCTCTAGATGAGGGCACGCACTCCAAGATCGAAGGAAAGAGGTGTCAGGTCACAATTAAGAAGCAGCTGGACCTTGGATGGGCCTATGTAGGAGCATAAGATTGTATAGCATAGCGATAACGCCCACTACATATAATTTTCATCCGCGAATAATAACTGATGTTTGCTTCTGCTTTTGTTTGAAATATCTCAGGCAAAAGTCCCGTTACAGAACAAATTTAATATTCACTAAAAAAATTGAAAATATCATAATCGTTTCATAAATCCAATCGATTTTAACAAAGGAGAAAAATTCTAGTTAATTAAAAAACCAAAATCAGGAAAATTAGATAAAAATAACCTAGGATCTTTTGAAATTCTAGATGTTACGAAAAAAAGCAATATAATCAGAAACAAAAATGGGAAAGCGAATCCTATTCATGCAAATGTTACGTCTCACGTAACGACCGCGAATTGACAAGAATTACTCAAACGCGACTGTCTCTTCTCAGTCAACGCGTAAGCGCTTTATCACGGATGCGAAACTCAAACGAAAGCAGGGCGGCAACGTATCTGAAGTACCGAGTGAAAAAGTAATAATTAAATAATTTACCCGCAGTGAAACAGGTCCAGAAACTCGTACCTCAGAAGCCAGAGATGTAACGTAGATTAGGTATAACTCTCAAATAAGTTATAATAGAAATAGATTTGTAATATTTATTGATCAAATTACAGAAGGTGCGTAGTGTCACAGAGTGGAATACAGAATGTGTGTTACAATTGTCTTGCGTAATCTTTTATAGCACAAAATACAGAAAAACTAATCAATAAAGGGTTAATGCCAGCAGAGGTAAGTGCGTCACTGAGATTAAAGTCAGCTATTAAATGACTATTACTTTTAATTACGGGAACTTCCCTTTCATAAAAAATTCAAATTTTACCGCTATAAAATAGTCTGACTCGTCCTCGACGTAACACGCCCGTCTCTGAAGACTAGCGACGCAGGGCGCTCGCAAGGTGCACCTGTCTATTTGAATTTTCGTACATCAAAATATTATACTTATACCTTGCACTTAACGAAGTTACAATAAACACTACGTACTAAACACAAAGTAATTTTACACATATATATGTTTAAAAGAGAAACATTTCGAAGCACTACTTAACATAAAGTTTCTAATTTTCAAAAGGCAAGAAACCACCACTCCACACGACATTTAATCTTCTTAAAAGTATTTCTTCCTCTATGGTGCCAGGTTTACATATACGGTACACCGTACCATACGGTATACCTCCAGGTTGAAGGGCATTCTGATGGGCAGTTGACAAGCACTCCCAACAGATGAGGAAAATATTTTTTGGTCCGTGGCTTAAGTATTTTCAAATGCACAGCTTACAAAAACGCCACACAGGTAGAGGCCGAGAGCACTGCGCACAGTTATCAAAGGTTAATAGGTCCGTAAAACCTGTACCTCCATAAGGCAAATGTACAATTCGGCGTATGTTCTTCCGCGTTCTATCCTTTCTCTATGAAAATATGCTTCAAGATAGTCTATCCATACTTGCATATCTTCTCTCGTACATTTATCCGGTGGTCGAGGAACATACTCTACATATTGTAACTGATCATTTTCGTACCTTAACTGCCACCTTTTCATGATGATTCGAAGCTGCTCGTTCGTTATATCTGGTCCGGGTACTATAGGTAGGATTAGGTCGTATCCCATCATACGAGCGCAATCGTCCGATGCCTTTCGATAGTCTTAGCAGCTCTCATAACAAATCTGCCTTCAGACTTGGGCTTGATTTGTAGGGTTACCCGCCTGAAATGGTCGCCCCATTTTCCCTGCCTCACTGTTTAACCACAGGGGCGGTTGCGATCACGACGCTCTCAGGAAGCTCGATTATAATCCGCTTAGCAAAAACATGGATGATGCACATAGTGCACCATATGGCCAGCCGCGAGGCTGGCCAGGTCACCTTGTGCAAAAATCTTTTGTCAAAGCGGCGGACAGTAGTTGTCTTCCTCAACAGAGAGTGGAGACTTCTCAAACAAACACTTTGTTGTTTTGGCAGAGGATGTCGTAAATTTCTCTTACCTGTACGGGCATGAGCAAATGCAAATGCTGAAGTATAAAATGCGTCACCGATTTCCCTCGACAAGCAACTAATGCTAGTCGACCCAAAGTGAATGCAATGTGTATTTGAACGAAGACTTGCAATCACATGTGCGGATGTGTGTACCTTCACGTGGTGGGGCTGAAAACGCTGTTTCTGTAAAGAAACAGTAGGCAAAACACACAACGCTCGCCCTTAGGGCAAATGGCCAATAGGCTAAACGACAAACAACACGGACCATGACAGCACGTGGTGAGGTGCGGCTCATAAACGCCCAAACATTCAACGTGGAGTCTACCGTACCCCAAGAGCACAACTCAAGCCCAGAAAAGCCAAAATCCGGGAATCACTTGAGGGGAAATCTCTTGGGATTGTGGTACCACGCGCCCTCTTAGAGGACGGGAGACCGCTTCGGGAGCTGGTTGCAGAGGACCAATGGTCCCGGCAATCCGAATCTAATTCGGGTAGATAAGAAATTACTCCCTATCGACTGGCAATCGGTAGGTGCCACTATTGTGGGTAAAGAGTCGTGGCCGTGGTCATAGCAGCCACCCAAAGTTCTTTGCCTCGAGCTCCGGGAGTAAGGCCCGACACCTTTGTGTGAAAAACACAATTTGAACGCTAATCTCGAACGCTAAAATATCTGATTTGAGCCTGGATCTCGGAAATTGATTTGAATGAGTGGCATGACTGGCACGAATATTGAAAACTGCCTGGGGAGTCGCCTTGTCGGCTAGGCGAGACCCCGCCCCTGACCCAAGTTAGAAAATTAATCGAAAGAGCAAAGATCAATATCAGCGAGTCATAAAAGCCTTCCATGGAAAGCGAAATCCGAGACTCGGGCAAAATCAGAACACAACCTTTCGAATGACGGATACCCACCAGCGTGAGCAGGGATGACCGAAACGCAATGGGAAGACATGCCCCGGCACGTCGAAGCGATGGACCTGTGAGTCGTGGGAGAAATCCCTTAATATAGGAACGCAGGGTGGGATGTATTTTGAACGCGAGCCCAGGAGGGGAGGCTTAGTTGGTTGATTGTCTTAGGAATCTTCCTCTGGCTGTCCTGGCTGAGTCTCTCTTCTGACATCCCAATTTGGGTTGGCCTCTGCGGGGTAGTGGTACCAGGTCAAGCAAATCTCGTAAGATTTGTACGCTGCGTGCTTCCGACGCAGTAGACGTTGGGGCAACTAGAGTCCCGTCGCGCCCAAACCGAGGGTCAAGCCTTTAGTTCCGCTCTCCTTGAGCGTCGAACCGTGAAAAGATCGGTACTCCTTTCGAGGAGGTCGCCGCCTTAGATTAAAAAGGTTCCGACTCGCTGAGTGCGTCAGGGATGTCGCAGCAAATTTGACTTCCGGATCTCCAATAATGTTTGAAAGCGAAGGAGTGAAAGACAGTGGGCTATGCCAACCTATTGGCGCCCAGAGAGAGGGGTGGTAATGTTTGATTACGCTGCGCCACCCTCAAAGCGGAAAAGTGTGAACGACACACATACACTAACTGTTTAACCACAAGATGATTCCTCGTCGATACATTTCCGGTAAAACCACGTTGTCTTATGGTTTCGGACTGTTGAAAAAGTTTAAAAGATCACTTATCACTTCTTCTTAGGTGATCACGAATCCGTGATTTTCTCCATAAACCTCTTCCAACTTTTACAAGACCTTATTCACGAACATGTTATACTATCGCTTATAGAGGCACAGACATAAAACTAGTTGATGCTGTCTTACTGGCAACTAACAAGGGAACCAACCCAACCCGACCTCACCGATTTGAATGATTTTGGGATATGTTGTAATACTTGAAAAAAAATTAGATACGTGTTTTTTTTATCGGCCCATAAGGGCTTTTAAAGGGTGAAATCCACCCTGAAAATCAAACCCTAAAATCAGTTTTTTAATATTTCTCAGCATCAAATGAATATTTTTCAGTAAACTCAACG